CTCTCAGCTTCTTCTCTAGCACCATGTCTGCCTGCATGGTGCCTTGCTTCTTACCACGACGATAATGAATGAAACCTCTGAACTGTCAGCGAGCCACCCCAATTAAATGTTTTCCTTTGTAGGAGTTGCTGTTGAGAGGAGAGAGATGGCTCAGTGGTTAAGAGGTTCAATTCCCAGGCCCTCCAATGTTCGATCATGCCAGGGTTTAAAAAAAAAAAAAAAGAGTTGCTGCTGTGGTCATGGTGTCTCTTCATAGCAACAGAAACCCTAACTAAGACAGAAGTTGGTACCAGGGACTGGGGGATTGTTGTGATAGGCTGGACCATGTTTTTGTTTGGAGTAATAGGGACTTTGGGAGTTTGGGTTAGGAAAGCAGTGAAATGCTTTAAGCGCTGCTTACTGGGCCGTACTAGTAGGAGCATGGAAGACAGAGGTGCTGAGAGTTATTTGAACTGTGGAGTCCTGGCTAAGAGGTTTCAAAGGAGAAGATTTAATTTAACATGTTGCCCAGACATCGATCTTGTGATATTTTGGTGAAGAATGTAGCTGCCTTTTGCCCTTGTCCAAAGAGTCTGCCTGAGGCTAAAGTTGGTAGAGAAAAATCTCAAAACAGCCTAGGATGGATTCAGTTGTGTGGTTATTAGTGGTAACTCTAATGTAAAGATTTATAATGAAAAGGAGCACGCTGAGCAGGGTAAATTACAAAATGTGAAATTTGAGGAGAAAAAGGGCACCAGGAAGTAGAATAGAGCTAAATCCTGTGTTCAGGGAGATAAACAGATTAAGAAATGGAATAGCCAGGTGGCGGCGGTGGCAGTGGTGCACATCTTTAATCCCAGCACTTGGGAGGCAGAAGCAGGTGGATCTCTGTGAATTCAAGGCCAGCCTGGTCTACAGAGTGAGATCCAGGAAAGGCACAAAGCTACACAGAGAAACCCTGTCTTGAAAAACCAAAAAAAAAAGAAAGAAAGAAATGGAATAAAGGGAGTGGTGACCTCAGGGCAAGATCCCACCCTGCTTAGTTTCCTATTTGTGAAAAGGAATTAAAGCTTAGAGCCAGGTATGGTGGCACATGCCTTTAATCCCAGCACTCCAGAGGCAGAGTGCTGTGAGATGTTCTGTATGTCCTGTGGGAGTCTGTTCTCGGGTTCCTTGTGGCTTTACCCAGCAGGTCCGCATAGAGGATGATTAGGACCACAGGCCTGAGTACAGGTGTCTGAGATGATCTGCACTTGGCTGTGCTGTGGGATGGTCTGTATGTCAAGTTGCTCTGATTGGTCAATAAATAAAACACTGATTGGCCCGTCGCTAGGCAGGAAGTATAGGCGGGACTAACAGAGAGGAGAAATAAAAGAACAGGAAGGCAGGAGTCACTGCCTGGAGCCGCCGCCAGGACAAGGAAGATGTAAAATACCAGTAAGCCATGAGCCACATGGCAGGTATAGATTTATGGAAATGGATTAATTTAAGATATAAGAACAGTTAGCAAGAAGCCTGCCACGGCCATACAGTTTGTAAGCAATATATAAGCCTCTATGTTTACTTGGTTGGGTCTGAGTGGCTGTGGGACTGGCGGGTGATAAAGATTTGTCCTGACTGTGGGCCAGGCAGGAAAACTCTAGCTACAGCAGAGGCTGGTGGATCTCTGAGTTTGAGGCCAGCTTGGTCTACAGAGCAAGTTCCAGATCAGCCAGCCTTAGGCAGTAAAGGAAACCATTGAAAATAGAAAGTTGGTGAAGATGTAATTTGAATGAGGGGGCCATGCCCAGCCCCAGTAAGCAGCAGAACTTGGCAGCTTTGGCCACGTGGTGATGGAGTTAAGGATAGAAGAAAGGGGCTATGGAATTTGTGATGAACCTAAAAAAGCCAAGTTCGTCCTCTAGTGTCAGATAGCAAGAAAAGAGCTGAGACCAGTTAGTTGAGATGTCGAAAATCCTACTCGTTTACAGAAAGAGAGAAGAGAAGTGTTAATGGTGATTGTGTTTATCTGTGTGTGCAAAGCTGTTGTGCTGGCTATCAAAACCAGGACCTTAGACATGCCAGACAGAGCTCTACTACTGAACTACACCTGGCTGATAATATACCTTGCTCTCATTAAAAACAAGGGTGTAGATGGATTTTTCTTAGGGCCACCAGCGCACACAATGCCCCCCCCCTGCCCCAATGACATGGAGACTTACTCTTAATTATGAAAGCTGAGCCTTAGCTTAGGTTTGCCCCATTAGCTCTTATAACTTAAATTAACCCATATTTTTAAATCTATGTTCTTTTACATGGCTCAGTTACCTTTATTCTGTACTGCCCATCCTGCTTCCTCAACACTTCCTCCCAGAGCTCTCTCTGTCCAGAAGTCCTGCCTATACCTCCTGCCTAGCTATTGGCCATTCACCTCTTTATTAAACTAATCATGGTGACACATCTTCACACAGTGTGAAAGAATATTCCACAACACAAGGGACTGGAGACGTGGCTCAGTATTAAGAGGATTTGCTGCTCTTGCAGAAGACCCAGGTTTGGTTTCGGGCACCTACTTAGTGGCTCACAAATCTATAACTCCAGTTCCAGGGGATCCAGCACCTTCTTCTGACTACCATAGGCACCAGGCACATGCATGGTACATATATCCACATGCAGGAAAAACATTTGTATACATAAAATAAATAAATCTTTTAAAAATAAAATCAAACAATAAAAGCCTGTTGAGTTGGCACAGACCTATAATCCCAGCACTCTAGAGGCTAAAGCAGGATTGAAGGTACAAGGTCTCACACGGGCCAACTGGCCTGGAATTCAGAGATCCACCTCCCTTTGCCTCCAGGGAATTGGGATTAAAGGCATGTGCCAACACGCCTGGCAAGACCAAAGCAACTCTTACGAAAGAAAACATTTAATGTGGGCTTACTTACAGTTTCAGAGGTTTATTTAATCCATTATCATAATGGCGGGGAGCATGGTGGCACACAGGCAGACATGGTGCTAGAGACGTAGCTGAGAATTCTATGTCTGGACCCACAGGAAGCAGGAAGAGAGAGAGCCCGGGGCCTGGCATGGGCTTTTGAAACTTCAAAGCCCACCCCCAGTGACACACTTCCTCCAACAAGGCCACACCTCCTAACCCTTCTCAAGTAGTATCACTCCCTAATAACTCAGCATTCAAATATATGAGCCTATGGGGGCCATTCTTATTCAAACCACCACAACATGTGTGGAGACATAAACATATTTATACCGAATAATATATCTCATTCTCATTTCAGGTGTACACAGCCACAGAGAACTGGACAGCTGAAACTCTACCCAGACACCTCCATGCCAGAATACAGTGAAAGCCTAGCAGGCCGTGCGTGCATCTAAATCCTTATCTCCTCCCAGCTCACATCTCAGGCATGCACAGCCTGCTGTTTTTCATTCAGCTTTATCCCCCGCGAACCCTTCAGCTCTCTTGCGAGCACACGGTATCTGCCTTCTCGGGAGTGTTTGTCATTCCCTCTTCCCCGGGGAAAATCAGCAAAAGCTGATAAAGTGGATCTCTGATCTAGCTTTTTATGGTGAGCTCAGCCGAAAGGGGGTTGCGATGTTCAGCCTCAGCTGCTGGGGCACAATATGAGAGAGAATTTTGTTAAAATATTTACATATTTACAGCTGAAGGCAGCAAGAGGTTGAAAAAAGAGAGTCTGGCATCGAGTGGATTCAAGTTTAGATTCCCATGCTGTCGCTTAAGAGATACATGTCCTAAAACCTCAATGAGCTCCATTTAGTCTGGAAGATGAAGTGATTGCCAGTGCCACTCGGCTTGTGCTAAGCCCCCCGTGAGTCCTGTGCTAAGCACTGAGCACACACACACACACCACACACACACACACACACACACACACACACACACACACAGACACACACACGAGCCCGGATAGACTCGCCACTGGATGAAATAGGGCCACCTACGGTCTAGCCCACCCTCACCCCTCCCAGTCCATTTCTAGTAGGACCACAGCAGGTGCCTCAAGAAAGCTAAGCCGCAGCCCCAACTCCATGGCTGTTTCTTGGTTGGTCTGAGCCCACCACTGAGGCACCATTTCTTTTTCCGCTACTGAACTAGACACAGTGCACGAGGCAGTTCTACATCAATGAAATAGGAAGCAGGTCAAGCAGTCGTCAGGAGGAAGCTCGAGTTTTCCTTGTTCTTCAAAGGACACAAGGAGATGATCCCTTTCCTGTCCATAGATACTGCCGTGTCTGGATTAATGTTCAGAGTGGCTGCAGCCAGGTTTTAATGAGGGCAACAAGCTTGAAGACAAAACCAACACAGAGAATCGAGGACAGAGATGGAAAGGCCCTCTATTCTCCACACTGGGCCACTGCATCAACCAACCTTGGCTTCACATTATCAGGGATGAGTGATCTTCCTTATCACTGAGGCCTCTCTAAGTGGGATTTTGTTACTTGCTATGGAAAGCAGCTTCAATAATACATGGATTTTTTTTTCTCCCTGACAGTCTCAGAAAGCTCAACCTCTTGACTCAAGGCCACCAAGCACTAGCACCCAGTAGGTTTTTAACATTTGGTCTAATTTCAAATAGACATACCATGACCTCCTTTTATCAAGGTTAAAAAAAGACAATAAACTGTGGGGACCTAAAGACGATCTAGATCAAGGAGGAAACAATCCTACATTGCTCTCTTCACTTTTTTCTAGTACTGAGGATGAAATCTAGGGCCTGGCCTGTGCTAGGCAAGCACTCTACCACTGATGTACACTCCTAAGCCACTGACTAAAATTCATTAAAGTCCACTCCTAAACAAGCTCCACAATGTGGAAAGAACAAGAGAAGAACACACACGGGAGGCCTTGCATTCTGCACTGGAATTGTCACATTTTTACTTTGAGCCTTGGGTTCTTCCTCTAACAAAATGATGAGATGGGAGCTGGGATGCATCTCAGTGGTGGAGCCTTTGCGTAGCATGAGTAAGGTCCTAGGTTGGAACCCTTGTGCTGCAATAAAAAAAAAAAAGCAAACAAACAAACAAACAAAAACAAAAAACCTCACACTGCACTGTTCTGGAATCCTCAGTCAAGTATGAAACACTTGAAATCACCAACTGCAGGAAACAGGACAGATCCATCCAGGGCAGAGCGGGAACCAGGCTCCTCCTTGAACACCAGTCCCCCTAACTGGTAGTGGTTCCTAAGTTGCACTAAGACACTGTCAAACATTCCACGAGAGAGTGCCCTTGACTAGTTGGTGCTGTCTGCTATGAGATCGGGATGCCCAAAGAGCACGGGGAGTGGCAGGAATGTGCTTTTCCTGGTTTGATGTATTGTTCTCACTAGGGTTGCGGGAAGCTGCCAACTGACCAGCCATGGTGTAGCTACCAAAGACTGTTGTCTCCCTCGGTCTTCTATGGAAGAAAGTGTGAGGGTTGAGGTTCCACGTTATCACAGATACCCTTATGCCACTTGGCATTCATTCTCTATCCTTCAGGCTTGCTTCTATCCTGCCATACCTTAAATTACCCATGTCATATTTTCTTTTTTCTGTTTTGTTTTGTTTTGTTTTGTTTTGTTTTGTTTTTTTGAGGCAAGTTTCCTTTGTGTAATAGCCCTGGCTGTCCTGGAACTCACTATATAGACCAGAATGGCCTTGAACTCAGAGATTTGCCTGCCTCTGCCTCTCGAGTGCTGGGATTAAAGGAATGTGCTGCCATGCCTGGCATATTTTCTTTTATTATTACATTTTTATTACTATACGTGAGGGGGCATACATATGCCACACAGCATGTATGGAGGTCAGAGGACAATTTGCAGGAGTCAATTCTCTCTCTTTTATGTGGGACCCAGGGACTGAACTCAGGTCGTCAGGCTTGGAGGCAAGCATCTTTATCATTGGCCCTAAATATCAGATCTTGTAACTCTGGTCCCCCTTTCCTGCTGCTAAGACAAAACTAATTATACAACAGGCTCTCTAACCAAGCGTGACCCTCCTTGTAAAAGATGTGGTCCATAAACAATCTTGATCATTTCTTTACTCTGCCTTTCATTTTCCATTCCCTGGTACCATCCTCCCCTCTCGGGCAGAGTTACGACTCTCAGATGGATGGCCACAGTGTTGGTAACAGACAGAGGGTTGTTTTATTCACTAAGACATGAGGCTGTGGTACAGCTGGCAAGACGAGAGGTGTAATTATCCTGCGTCTTAGAGCCACCGGCAATGAATTTCTGTATAAAAGACTAGATTGGCCATGTATTATTTATGCCAGCATCAATTTTCCCAGCTGGTTCTATTTACTGTGCAAATTCTCCTCTGTCTGTTTATGGGTTAGGCCATGGTTCAGCACCTCTGGTTACTCTAGACTGAGGAAGGGCCCCCACAGGGCACCATGCATATGAAACAAGTGTCTGGTTCACTGGAAGCAGGTCACATCCTTCCTCCCTGGTAAATTATATCCCTGGGACAGCAGTGAGCTCAAGTTCTCACCTATCAGGGTGATGCAGGCAGGTGTGTGAAACCCAGTCAGCAAGCAGGGAAGAACTCTCATTCTCTGGGCATCCCACTGCAGGAATGGAAAAACTCTAGAGTTCAGAGGACTTCCTTTTTACTTTTTAAAAATATTTTTGTTTTATTTTATTTTATTTGGTTTTTCGAGACAGGGTTTCCCCGGGGTAGTTTTGGTGCCTGTCCTGGATCTCGCTCTGTAGACCAGGCTGGCCTTGAACTCACAGAGATCCGCCTGGCTCTGCCTCCCTAGTGCTGGGATTATAGGCGTGCGCCGCCATTTCCCCCACCCCCCAAGCATTATGTATTTTTAAGAGCAGGGCATACATAAAGAGCTTTACATTTCTGAGGTTATTTCTACTGAGTAACTCAGACAAAGGAAGTCCCATCTTGCAGGTGGGAAAACAGCAGCCAAAATAAATGGGAATGGGTGGAGTGAAGGCTTCCCGGATCAATTACTGTGTAAGGGATGGTGACACACAGGGCCAAGAAGCTATTCACCCAGTCACTACTGTGTTTGGTGCCCAAGCTAGGTTGACCTCAACCTCCACTGAAACATATGGCAGATGCAAAGGAAGAAAACTTGAGGCCGAGATGGACTACGATGGACTTCTAGGTCCTCCTCCCCACTCCACGCCTCCCCGTGGCAGCATCCTCTGGCCACTGGCTCCATGAGATCCCACAGAGTGAGGCTGAGGAAGCTGAGCCTTGGCTTCCGACAAGCCTGAGACATCTGCACTGCCCGGGCCCCTGTGGCAGTGGACAGCAGCTGACTGAGAAAGAATGCTGTAAGGGCCTGGGAGGCTGTCCCTTCCCCAATCCACAACATCACGTCTGCTTGGCAGGCAATTCCGGGCTCTGCTCCTCAGTCCCCAATGTCCCAATGTCTATCACCTCCTGCAGACCTGTTGGCTGGAAGGAGACACCAGAGAGGAGGTGGTAGAATTGAGCAATCTAAGCAATCAGCCTTTGTTTCAGGGTTTCGGCATCAAAGAATCCTTCAATGAGATACCAGTGGGCATGGGAACCACCCTCTCCAGGGCCCAAGATCCTTGGTGTCCCCAGGGCTGGCTCACCTGGCGGGGAGACTTGGTCAGACACACCACGCGTTGGCTGCTACCTAAAGTTCCAGCCCCTTCAATGACATCCAGGAGAATCCGGGTACTGGGCACAAAGCTCCAGGAGCGTCCCAGAGCAGGTTTGACTCTCCTACTATCTCGGTCTCGGGTCAAGTGGTTGGTCACCTGCAGAAAGGGACACAGATCCATGATGGTAGTACAGAGGACACCTGTTCCTACCACTTCATTTTACACACACAAGAAATCTAAGATCTCTGACTCTCCCAGGTATTATAACTTACAGCTAAATCTAGAGCTACATCTCAGGGCTCCAGATCCGCACCCAGCTTTCCACAAAGCAATGGGGCACCTTTATTCATCCTTTCCTTAAAGTGGAGCTGGTGCTGGACTTGGGCCTGCCACAGGCATCCTAAGACCAGTGCACTCAGCCGTTGGTGTCTGGAGTGTGTCTGTGTGTCGGGCAAAAAGGAGGTTGAGATAAGGAGTCCCACTCTAGGACTAGTCTTAAGCAAGCCAGCCACAGAGACCCAAGCCACAGCCTCCTGATGACAGCGACTATGGCTCCTTCCCTATAGTCCATGCCAGAGACTGGCACCCAAATCCCCACAAACACTCAGAAGCCCAGAAGCCAGGAGAGGAAGGTCCAGGACCTTGCACTTGAACAAAAGAACAGGGAAACCAGTTCTTTCACACTGCCTGCAGGTGCACAGATTAGTGTAATATTTCCTTAAAAGGAGGCAATGACCTATCTAGACATTTAAAATACATATAGTTGGATGTGGTGATATCACAGCCCCTCAGAAGGCTGAAGTAGGGCTAGTACTTCAGTGTAGGAGTTTGAGGCCAGCCTGAGCAGCCTAGTGAGACACCATGTCAAACACATACAAGTGACAGGTAGCCCTGGCTCAGTAATACACCCCTCAAACTCCAGCACTCAGGAGGCAGAAGCAGGTGGATCTCTGTGAGTTCGAGGCCAGCTTGGTCTACAAAGGGAGTTCCAAGACAGCCAGGGCTATGTAGAGAGACCCTGTCTCAAAACAAACAAACAACAACAACAACAAAAAAAAAAAGGCAGGAAATATGATGTACAGAGTTATGCATAAGAGTGCTTGCTGTCAGGGCTGGAGCAGTGAGTGGGTGAGCAGCCAAGAACACAGGCTGCTCTTGCAGAGGACCAACTTCTGTTCTTACCACAGAGCTGTTTCCTGTCCTGATAGAAGGAATACTTTTCATAAAAAGAGTTTAAAAAAGCTGCCAGGTGGTGGTGGTGGTGGTGGTGGTGGTGGTGGTGGTGGTGGTGGTGGTGCACACCTTTAATCCCAGCATTTGGGAGGCAGAGCCAGGCGGATCTCGGTGAGTTGGAAGCCAGCCTGGTCTACGGAGCAAGTTCCAGGACAGCCAGGGCTACACAGAGAAACCCTGTCTGGAAAAACCAAAATCAAACCCAAAAAAGTAACATCTCAGGCCATTTTCTGTGGGTTTTTTTTTTTGTTTTTTTTTTTTAAGATTTATTTATTATATAGTGTTCTGCCTGCCTGCATGTATGCCTGCACACTGGAAGAAGGCACCAGATCTCATTATAGGTGGTTGTGACTCACCACGTAGTTGCTGGGAATTGAACCCAGGACCTCTGGAAGAGCAACCAGTGCTCTTAACCTCTGAGCCATCTCTCCAGCTCCATTTTCTACGTTCTTACATAGACCCTTTTTTCTATTTTCATTATTGAATGAAGAAAAAAAAAATAAGGGAGGACATGACTGCTCCTAGGTGTGGGTTGAGAAGGTTTATTGTAGATAAAAGGGAGAAAAGAGCCAGAGGCATCTGGAAAGGTCTAGGGTAGACATGACCAGCAGACTGAGCAGGGCCACGTGAGGAGAGAGGGGGAGAGAGCCAAGGTGGAACCACTGACCAAGAGAGGCAGCCTGCGCCAAGAGACTGGTGTAGCAAAATGGCTGAGGTATATAGGCACCAGACGTGCTGAGGGAAGGAACAGTCCAGCCCCTGGGCTGGAGAGTTCAGGGGAGGGGGCATGGCATGCTAGCCAGGGCTCTGTAACAGGTAAGGACTGAGGGATGCTGGGAGAACCTGGTGGCCAGAGTCTGCTTTGATGTTAGGCATTTCAGCCATTTGTCCTGGGTTTGAGACCTAACAATTACCATCTTTTTCAATTTGTTCTGTTTTGTTTTATTGAGAAAGGATCTCACTATATATCCCAAAGTACCTTGAATTTGAGATCCTCCTGCCTCAGCCTCTGAGTACCAAAAGCAAAAGCATATGCCCCTATACCTAGTTCTTTACATAGATTCTTTAAGATGGCCATGTCTTTAAAGCAAGACATGGGGGCACATGCCTGTAATCCCAGTACTTGGAGGCTTGAAAAACCAAACCAAACAACCCCCCCCCTAAAACAAGATAGTCCCTAATCCCTGTAGCTATTCATGGTCCAAATACCTCTCTGACCTGTGGAAGCTGAGCTCTGTGCTCTGTCCTCCTCCTTAAGGGCTATTATAGCTCTAAGCTAACATTTAAGAGAAATAGTGCTAGCTACAATTAGAAATTATGTTCATAGGAAAAGCCTCCTCACCATCACTGCCACACCCAGCTCCCGGGCTAGGATCTTGAGCTCTCGGGCCAGCTGCATCATCAAGGCCAGGCCTGGGGGAGGAGCAAACAGGAGAGGCAGCAAGAGGGCCGAAGGACAGAGCTGGGAGGTGAAGTCCCCACCCTGTCTCTCTAGGCTCTCCTTCCTACTGACCTTCCCTCTGTTGACCTCCCAGGAGTGGGGCGACCACCGCAGTGACGGAATCCACAATCACAACCTTCACAGTGCCTGAAGAGGCCGTTGCCTGTAGGGATGGGGAAAGCAGGTACCATGAACCAGTGATCTAGGGGACGCCCGGGGCAAGCTCCTCTAGGAGATGGAGGCCGGTGAGATAAAGGCTCAGCAGATAAAGGCGATGGTGGGACAAGCCTGGCAGCCTGAGTTTGACCCCTGGAACGCAAGCAAAGGTGGAAGCAGAGAACCAACTCCACAGAGTTAGCTTCTCTGACCTACACACACACACATACACACACACACACACACACACACACACACACACACACACACACACACACGGTGGCATGCATGTGCTCAGTTGTGCCTGTCTGTACATACACACACAATTTAAAAAATGAAGTTTACTCCTCAGAAGTTTTCTTTTTCTTTTTTTTAAAAAAGAAGCCAGTCATGGGCTGGAGAGATGGCTCAGCAGTTAAGAGCACTGGCTGCTCTTCCAAAGGTTCTGAGTTCAATTCCCAGCACCCACATGGTGGCTCAGAACCATTCATAATGAGATCTGGTGCCCTCTTCTGGCCTGTAGGCATACATGTAGGCAGAACACTGTATACATTTAAAAAAATAAAAATAAAAGTCAGTCACAAACAACCTTTCCTACCCAAATCCGACAGGCCTCACTGAAGCACCTTCCCTGACCTCAAGTGCATAACAGACTCCACTGAGGATTTAGTAGACAGAGCGGGTTTAAGTCATAGGACAGCACAAACTCTCCACCCAGGAATCCCCGTGCAGATTCCAATGGCAATCTCCTTACACCCAGCCTACTGTTAGCCCCTTCTCCTCTTCTGAATCCCCTCACTGCTGCTCACTTTCACTTCAAATTCCCAAGTTGCATTTGCTCTCCACTGAGGAACCCAGGGCCTGGGGCATGCTGGGAAAGCATTCTCCCTGAGTTACAGTAGTCTCTGCCCCTTTGTCTTCTTTTGTTTCCATCTCCTGGATTTTTACCTCCCAAGCTCCCTCTTCTCCCACAGCTACCATGGTTCCAAATAAAGGCAGCTGTTTTAACCAGGCAGTGGTCTCTGAGTTCAAGGCCAACTGGTCTACAGAGTGAGTTCCAGGATGGCCAGGGCTACACAGAGATACCCTGTCTTAAAATAAATAAATAAATAATAAAGGTAGTTGTTTCTCTAAGAGCCTGATGCCATTTCTCTGACCATAATCAGGTGTCTTTCCACAGGTGAGCCTGGTCCCAGCATCTATGGACCTAAGCTGTCTTCCACGCTTCCTTCTTCTCTCCCTTACTCCTCAGATCGCGATTCCGCTACATGTGTTGTTTCCATTTGCCAAGCCTTGGCTATTTGGCATCTCCACTCTGCCTTTTGTGTATCTCACTTCCAGCCTGGAACTGCTCACCAGTCTTCCAGCCTCTGACTCTGAGCCTGTTACCAATGCGTCTAAGAGAGGACAGCGGAAATGGGAAAAGTTAAAACCAACCAGCTGAGGCCCTCCTCAGCCCTGTCCAGCTAAATGGCACAGCAAGACCTTTGCTGCTTTTGCCGAGGACCTGGGTTTGATTCCCAGCACCCACAAGATGGCCCACAACCTTCTGTAACCAAGTTCCAGAGGAATTAAATGTCCTCTTCGTGCCTCCAACGGCACAAGGCAAGCACACCATGTACATACATTCAGACACATAGAATACAATTTTAAAACCTTAAAAAAAAAAAAAAAAGCCAAGTGTCATCAAAATCTCCTCCCTTCCTTATAAACATTAATCTGAACATGTTTAGGTACTGGGTAGAAATCCCCTGACATCAGTGAGGATGGGCCCAGCACCCAATTCAAGATACGTATAGAGGTAGATGATTTGCTTTTGGTTAACTATGGCTGGAGGGATACCTCAGTGGCTGTGTCTAGCTAACGTGTATAGGCCCTGGATTAGATCTCTAGTGTCACAAAAAAAGAAAAAAATTATACTTATTTATTTTCATGTGTGAGCGTGTGTGTGTGTGTGTGTGTGTGTGTGTGTGTGTGTGTGTGTGTGTGT